GACCCATAGCGACCCTGTACAGGGTTTCCGAGGGTGTAAATCTTTACGGGAGTAGAAAGCCTTGAGCATAGTCTTTAAAAATGAAGCAGGTTTATAGAGTGCTTAATTCTTTTCTGGATATGATAAGATTTTGGTGATTGATAGTTTCAGAGGGATTTCCCAATGTCAAGTCTATAGGAAAGTTCACTCCACCTTAGAATTGCTGAATTTATATTGACATTTAAGAAGCCACTAGAATCACTGGTGATTTTGAACTAGGCTACATTAAATGTCCTGGTGTGACGCTGTGGGTTAATGTGCCAGACTGCAAAGCCGTTTGAACTACAGTTCAAGCTCACCAGCTGCTCCTGGGAAACCCAATACTGGGTCATATGGGTCGGAACCGACTCTACGGCACTTAACAACAACATTAAATGTCACAGAAGGTTGGTCACTCAAAACTCACTGCCACTGACATCAAGTCAATTGTGACTCGCAGTGACCCTGCAGGACAGAGTAGAACTGCTCCTTAGAGTTTCTGGGACTGTCAATCTTTACAGGAGTGGACAGCCTCGTCTGTCTCCCACAGAGTGGCTGGTGGGTTTGAATCATCAACCTTGCAGTTAGCAGCTCAACATTTACAAGGCTGGCTCCTTGATCGCTCAAAAGAGGGTTAAATTCAGTAGAGTTGATTCTGCAAGAGGAGCCAGGAAATTTAAAAAATCATGACTGCATCTTTTGTTGCAGTTGAGCCTTTATAAGAATTTGATAAAAATCAAGTTCTTTTTCTTTCTTGTTTATAAACATTGGCCAGAAACTTTCTGTGAAAGCTCCAAATTGCACTAACCTGTTGTGTCTTCATATGTTTTCAAGCAACAGAGCAGTGTTGTGGAGAGGTTGTTTTGTGCCTTCTATCACATATACATTATTTGCTCTCAATATTAAAATATAAGTGAATGGCTTAAAATATTAAATATTATAGCACTGTTGCTGTCAACTCATCATGGTAACCTGTTATAGCACTAATTGGTCTTTTATTAACTAGAGGCTTTTTTCTTTTTAAACTTTTAGGTAACATTTGATCCAGAAGTGTTTTTCAATATTCTGCTGCCTCCAATAATTTTCCATGCTGGATACAGTTTAAAGAAGGTAAGACGTTTCGGCCAATATTTCTTTCCTTTAGAAATGTTGTCTATTTTTTTGTTGTTTTTGACAATATTTCATCATGACATTAATTAAATTCCTTCAGATTTGCAACTATCCTCACCCTCCTTTTCTGAGATGTCCTGCCCATAACATAACACAAACGTGCTGCCCTCTAAGGTTCTGGGGCAGCAAAGGAAGAGGGAGAGCCTGGAATAAGAGAGGATATGGGATCTGTGGCTAATTGCCTCCATGAACAGCTGCTTCTTTTGCCATGAGGCCAGAAGAACTGGTGCCTGGCTACTGTTATTGAACATTTTGATCAAGCATTCTATTGAGGACTCCTGGTCAAATGGTGGGCAGGGGTGATCCAGAACAGAATATCACATTTTCTGGAACCATTAAAAATGAATAAACCTCTGAAACTATTGCCCTTAGATCATCTTTAAACCTTAAACCAAAAATATTCCCTGTCGTCTTAAAACCAAGCAATAGTTTAGCTTAATTAGTAACAAGTGTCTGCCCTGAGCATTGTGCTCTTTTAAGAACTATCTATACGGGGTCAAATTGACAACAGAAACTTGAAAAATTAGATAGGAGCTTTAGGGGGCAGTGAAGGAGCAGTAGATTAAGCATTGGGCTGTTAACTTGAAGGTTGGAGGTTTGAACCCACCATCCACTCCAGAAGGGAAAGATGAGGCACTCTGCTTCTGTAAAGATGGACAGCCTTGGAAACCCTAGGGAGCAGCTCTACTCTGTTCTGTAGGGTTGCTAAGAATCAGAATCAACTAAACAGCAATGAGTTTAGGGAGCAGTGAGTTGCCATTCTTTCTTAAAGCCTGTGAATCTCTGGTAATTTACCTGCATGGTCATCTAGTTCTTATGCCTTCTCCCAGATTCCTTATTACTTTGCTCTGTGTTCAGAGACTATAATTGAGTCGTCATCAGTGAGTCATTTCTGTTTTAAAGTCTGAATCTCTCTCTCATACATCTCTGGTGGGAATATAAAATGGTTACTGCCACTTTGGAAAATAGTTTGACAGTTTCTTATAAAACCTAAGTTGAATTACCATACAACCCAGAAGTTGTACCTGGGATTTACCCCAGAGAATGAAAACTTGTGTTCACACACACACACAACCTATACATGATTATTCATGGGAGTTTTATTTGAAACAGCCTCAAACTGGAAACAACTAAAATTCTTACAATCCTACAATAAGTGAATAGTTAAACAAACTGTGGTACATCCATTTCGTGGAATACTATTCAGCAGTGGTGGTGATGATTGTGTGCAACTGAGTCAGTTCTAACTCAGAGTTACCCTGTATAGCGTTTCTAAGGTTGTAAATCTTTATGGGAGAAAGCCTCATCTTTCTTCCAGGCAGCAACTGGTAGATTTGAACTCCTAACCTCACAGTTAACAGCCCAACTCATAACCCACTATGCTATCAGAATACATGGTGGTGGGGGGATGGTGTGCAGTGGAATTGGTTCAGACCCATAGCGACACTGTATATGGTTTCCAAGGCTGTAAATCTTTACAGGAGCAGGAAATCTCATATTTCTTCTGTGGAACAGCTGGTAGTTTCGAACTGCTGACCTTGAGATTAGCAGCCCAATTTGTAGCCACTGTGCTTCCAGAGCTCCTTAGAATACATGGTAGGTAGATACTTAATAAATGCCAGCTGCTATTATCATATATCATTGTTATTAAGTGCTGTCAAGTGAGTTCCACTCAAAGCAATCCTGTATAGGATTTCCAAGAGAGTGGCTGGTAGGTTTGAACCATAAATCTTGGGCTATCAGTCAAGTGATTATCCTACTATACCACATCAGAACTCTAATTTAGCCATGAAAGGCAGCAAACTATTGATACACACAACAATCTGGATGGATCTCCAGAGAATTTTGCTGAATGAAAAATACCAATCTTAAAAGGTCACACAATGTATGATTTAGTTTATATAGCACTTTCAAAATGGCAAAATTGTAGGACTGGAAAACAAATTAGTGGTTGCCTGAGGTTAGGGATGATGGGTGTGTGAAGGGTGGATGTGACTATAAAAGGATAACAAGAGGGAGAGCTTCGTGGTGAGGAAATAATTTGATATCTTGATTGTGGTAGTAATGACATGAACGCAGAGATGATAAAATGGCACAGAACTTTATACATAATTCCTAGCCATTGTACCTCAAGGATAGCCGCCACCCATCTGTCAGTGGAGGCTTGTGTTGCTGTGATGCTAACCAGATTTCAGCGAAACTTCTAGTTTAAGAGAAACTGGGAAGAAAAGGCCTGGGGATCTACTTCTGAAAATCAGCCATTGAAAATATAGTGGATCACAGTGCTTTCCTCTACAAGCAATAGTAGGGGTAGGTTTGGGCCAGGCGATGGTTCATTCTGTTTTGTATGGAGTCATCATAAATCAGGGGCTGACTTAACAACAACTAACAACATCATCATTACATATGCATATATTTGCAAGGATTAGTCAAAATGTATTGGGGGGGGTGAGGGGGGGGTGGGACGGGACACTGCTGGTGGGGGTGGCTGGCTTTGCAAAGGCTGGCGGCTGGGGTGGAGGTGTTGCAGAGTTGCCAAGCCCAGCCTGGGCCCCGTGTCCTGTCGTGTCCCACCGTGGCCGGCCTCAACTCGCTGGAGGCGGTGAAGCACAAGATCCAGGCCCTGCAGCAGCAAGCTGATGAAGCGGAGGACAGCTCTCAGGGCCTGCAGCGCGAGCTTGACGCTGAATGCAAGCGGCAAGAAAGCTGAAGGTGATGTGGCAGCTCTCAACCTGTTGCATTCAGCTCTTGGAGGAGGAGCTGTATAGGGCTCAGGAGCGCCTGGCCACAGCCCTGCAGAAGTGGGAGGAGGCGGAGAAGGCTGCAGATGAGAGAGAGAGGCATGAAGGTGATAGAAAACCAGGCCATGAAAGACAGGAGAAGATGAAGATCCAGGACTTGCAGCGCAAGGAGGCCAAGCACATCCCTGAGGAGGCCCACAGCAAATATGAGGAGGTAGCTCGAAAGCTGGTCATCTTGGAGGGTAAGCTGGTCATCTTGGAAGGTGAGCTGGAGAGAGCGGAGGAGCGTGCAGAGGTGTCTGAACTAAAATGTCGTGACCTGGAAGAAGAGCTCAAGAATGTCACCAACAATCACTTGAGGCAGCCTCAGAAAAGTATTCTGAAAAGGAGGATAAATATGAAGAAGAAATTAAAATCATGTCTGACAAACTGAAAGAAGCCGACACCTGTGCCGAATTTTCAGAGGGAATGTTTGAAGAACTGGAAAAGACTGTTGATAACCTGGATGAAAAACTTACCCAGGCCAAAGAAGAGAACGTGGGCTTGCGTCAGACACTAAATGAACTGAACTGTATATAACCAAAACAGAAAAGTCCTTTTCCAACAAAAACACCAGGGCTCTGTGTCTTTCTCTTCTCTTGTAAGAAGTTTCTTTTGTTATTGCATTTTCTCTTTGCTGGAATTGTTGAGCAAATTATGAATACATGACCAAATATTTTGTATCAGAGAAGCTTTGAGCACCAGTTAAATCTGATTGATTACTTCCTTTTTTCAAATGGCACCAGCTTTTTCAGCTCTCTTTTTTATCCTTAAGTTGCATTTACTCCTAATGTAGTCAGGGCGTTTCCTATTGAGCATGCACCCTCCAGATGATGGCATTTGGCTCCTGGGAGAATAGAAGACCCCCAACAATATGAAAAGGCTGAGCCCCTGTTAGTTACACTATAGGAGGCCAGGGGCCATGCTATTCATATGAGTGGGGATTTTCCATCCATAGTAAAACAAAAAAGATGGTAGTGGAAAGTCCTAAACCACAGACAGACTAGCTTAACCGTCTTGGTCCTTTTCCACACTCTACTGGGCAGAGGAATTGCCTCTGAGCTTGAGAATGCTTGGGCATGGTTGGAATAACAAGCCAGATAGTCTCTGGACAATCTTTCATATTATGCTCTTCTATGTGTTTCTTTTTGTTTTAAAATTGGCCCTTGAGAAGATGTCTTATTCAGTAATGACCCATGCTTGTCTGCTCTGATATGAGACCACTTATTTACTCAGCAGGGATAAATATGGTGCAGTTCATTCCTACCCCAGGTTGCCACATCAGAAAGACTGCTGGCCACCAATAAACTGGACCAAAGGAAATTTTCTATTAACAAACACTGGGCAGAAGGGGTCTGTCTGAGAACACAGTAGAGATGAAAAAGTAAATTAGTCCAACTTCATCTCCATCCTTCAGGGAATGACAGGTTGAAGAGTGCTGATTTAAGTCTTCAATTCCTTCTTTGGGACTAAGTTAATAAAAGACTGAGAAACTCCTGGTTAAACTGGATCAGGGAGTATTTTGTAGACAGAGCTGCATATGCTGGCTTTGTGATATTTCTGCTTTCTCAGTGAACATCTCAGAACTGAAACATTCCACATTTCCCAGCAGCATGGGGGCCAATTCAAGTTTACAGTTCTGGCCAAAATCACCCTGCTTCTAGCTTATCCACATCCCTTGTCCCTCGCTCCTATTTATTAAGCATCATACTACCCAGGTGATATACTAGCAAATTTTGCAATTGTATCTCTTTTTCTACATTTTGGTCAAATAAATTTTTACATAAACTACAAAAAAAAGTATTGCTGTAAAAATCATAGAAATCTTTAATAAACAATAATATCAAAATGTGAAGCTATTGTTTCTCAACATCTCCTCTATCTAGGTCTATACATTTCTGAAGGTAGTGTTTCTATCTGTCTAACCCTTTCCTGAAGAATTCTGTGCTCTTCAGTTTATACCCTGTCACTTTTGGCATTCTTAAGGGGCTCAAATTGTATTCCTTTTCAGTGGTCTTTGAGTTTGGGGAACAAAAAAGTCTGAAAGGGCAAGATCAGGGCTGTAGGGTGGATTGAATAAGGTTTCCCAAATAAATTTTCACAGAACAACCCTTGTTACTCTCAAAGCATGAGCAGAAAAACAAATCTTGTCAACACAAC